AGAAATGGACTCTCAACTCTATGGTCAACTAATCTTTGACAAAGCAGGAAAGAATGTCCAATGGAAAAAAGACAGTCTCTTCAACAAATGGTGTTAGAAAAATTGGACAGCCACATTCAGAAGAATGAAACTGGACCATTTTTTTACACCATTCACAAAAATAAACTCAAAAGGGATGAAATACCTAAATGTGAGACAGGAATCCATCAGAATCCAAGAGGAAAACACAGACAGCAACTTATCTGGCCTCGGCCACAGCAACTTCTTGCTAGACACATCTCCAAAGGCAAGGGAAGCAAAAGCAAAAATGAACTATTGGGACTTCATCAGGATAAAAGGCTTTTACACAGCAAAGGAAACAGTCAAAAAAACCAAAAGTCAACCTACGGAATGGGAGAAGATATTCACAAATGACATATCAGATAAAGGGCCAGTATCCAAAATCTATAAAGAATTTATCAACCTCAACACCCAAAAAACAAAAAATCCAGTCAATGGACAGAAGACATGAACAGACATTTCTCCAATGAAGACATACAAATGGCTAACAGACACATGAAAAAATGCTCAACATCACTTATCATCAGGGAAATACAAATCAAAACCACAATAAGATACCACCTCACACCTGTCAGAATGGCAAAATTAACAACTCAGATGTTGGTGAGGATGCGGAGAAAGGGGAACCCTCTTATAGTGTTGGTGGGAATGCAAACTGGTGCAGCCACTCTGGAAAACAGTATGGAGTTAAAAATAGAACTACCCTAGGACCCAGCAATTGCACTACTGGGTATTTATCCAAAAGGTTCAAAAATAGTGATTTGAAGGAGTGCATGCACCCCAATGTCCACAATATCCATATCCAATATGGAAAGAGCCCAGATGTCCATTGACAGATGAATGGATAAGGATGTGTATATATACAATGGAATATTACTCAGCCATCAAAAAGAAATCTTGCCATTTACAACAATGTGGATGGAACTAGAGGATATTATGCTAAGCAAAATAAGTCAGTCAAAGAAAGACAAATACCATATGATTTCACTCATATGTGGAATTTAAGAAACAAAACAGATGAACATAGGGGAAGGGAAGGAAAAATAAAATAAAAACAGAGGGAAGCAAACCATAAGAGACTCTTAACTACAGGAAACAAAGGGTTTCTGGAGGGGAGGTGGGTGGTGGGATGGGATAGTTGGGTGATGGGCATTAAGGAATGCACTTGGGGTAATGAGCACTGGGTGTTATATGCAACTTATGAATCACTAAATTCTACCCCTGAAACTAATAATACACTATATGTTAACTAAGTTGAGTTTAAATAAAAAAAAATTTTTTTTTAAGTGCAAAGAAAGGTCTCGGCAGAAGAAGTGCTATATGATTAATTGCCTTCGATATTTCAAATTTTTTCCCCTCCTTTCCCTCTATTTAGAGGGACAGAAATAATGACTCATGAGACAAATGTCTAAAGATACACGCTTAAAAAGGCTAGCCTCTTGGCAGGAAGGGTCTTGTGGGGCTGGTAGCCTGGTGTATGGAGCCGTGATGTATCCTCGTGTCATAGCGTTACAGTGTGCAGCTTGTGTGGTACCCAGCTGTATCCTTCATGATGTTTAAAAGGACTTGCCATGAGGAAGTGCCCTGTGGTACTCAGAACATGCTGTTAGGTCACATATTAATAACTTCACACAACAGTGGCAACAGGACACATTCTCTTTGCAAAGTGAAGGTTGTTTATTGCTTGTTAGGATTTTGACAGGCAAGACCCTACATAGGGACGGTAATACCCACAAGGTGATCTTTACAGAATGCCTGCCTAGATTTCAACATTGGGATGAACTCCATGCATGCATTCTCTCTTTCCCTTTTCTGGGTGAAGCAGAGCCAAGCTCTCCCAGGTTGGTGGAGGCAGGGTGGGGGAACAGGGGCCAAGGACAGAGAAGTTGCATGCTTGCCCTGTCATCTCCCCTCACTGCTGTCCACACCCACATGGGATTCACTGAACTCAGACACACATTTTCAGGTGGGGAAAGCCAAGGTCATGCATGTTGAAGAAAATCAATCATATTGCATTTTCTTATAAAATGAGATGAAAAAATAAATCTAAACACACTTTTCAAGTGTTATTCTTTTTTAAACTTTCATATACGTTAAAGCTCTTATTTTTCTTTTCAATATATTCTACTTAGAACTTTTAAAAAATAAACTTTCTTTTTTGGTACCTTTCATTTCCCGTGTTAGCCTTGGAAACATAAAATACATCTCACTAGAACTCTTCTGTGCAAATAATAAACATAAATAATATTAACATCTAAGTTATAAAAAAGAAGAGGCCATTTCAAGGATTTCACTGCTACTTCCATCCACTGCAGTCCCTGGAAGATGCTCCTAGAAGTAGTCAGTGCCCTGCCCGCTTAAGCCACACAGATCCTGGTCTGGCTGGGGCGGGCTGGGCAAGAACTCGCTGTCCTGCTTGTCCATCTGTAAACTACTTCGAGAGAACTGTAAGACACTTCCCAGCCCACTGACCAGCGAGAGGGAGGAAATCCAGTTGAGGGAGCTGAAGTTGGGCAGGTTGAAAATGGACGACAGGGGGGCTGCCCTGCTGGTGCTGGTGCATTTCATCTTGGAGTCCCCAGGACACCCTTCTAGGATAGCTCCCCTTGGCATGGAGGACGCCGGGGCCTGACTGCTCAGTCCTTCCAGCAGAATGTTTTCCCTTAAAGTCACATTCATGTCCACCACACTGGGCTCCCCACTAGCCTCTGGGGAGCAGGCTGGTCGCTGTCCGTGCCAAGATGCCTGTGAGGTGCAGTCCTGGGAGAGGTGTCCAGAGGTACTGATGCTCTTCTGTTCTGATGACTCAGTTCTGGGTTCTCCTGGGAGATGTCCCTGAGCAAAGGTCTCTTTGGAAGCAATGAGTTTCTTGGGGGACCTCTTGGCCAGCTGGCGCCCCAGTTGAAGTTGGGTGGGAAAAAGACTCCCCTGCACGGCTTTGAAAAACAATCTGGAAAGCATATAAAAAACAGTCATCTGCGGGTGGTGCCGTTGAGTCTTCTGTGAAAAACATAGGCTTGAGAATGCTCTCAGAGCTCGTTTAGGACCTGAGGGACAATGTCCCTGATACCCACCTGGGAAACAGTGCAGCGACAGGTGCTATGAGACAAGTCAAGTAAAACACGGGGTCACCCAATAACGTCTGCATAGTCCAATAAGGGTTGGATGGAGGATAACACGTCGCACAAGAAGCATTGTAAATCAAAGCCACAGTGAAAAACAGAAGGATACTGAAGCCGCAAGCTATCCAGTTGAGCCAGGTCTAAGGGGGAAAGAGAAAGACGGGGCATTTATTTCAAGAGAAACGCACTGGTCATCTGTCAGTGGGTAGCTGTTCTAAGGGCTTAGTGAAAACCCGGGTCTGTGGCATGGGCAGCTGGGGGGCTTGATGAAGCCTTCGGCATCTGCGGACCAGCCTGGGCACAGTCAGGGAGATGGAAGTCAGGTGTAGGCAGGAAAGGGGGGTGTGAGGTGGAGGAGGAGAGCAGAGCGGGCAGGCAGGAGCTAAGGGCTGCCCAGGTGAAGACACCGGTCAGGGTGCGGCAGTTCCCACACCAGGGGTTCCAATACATGTGGTGGGCCTGCGTATTGGTTTCCCTTCTCCACAGTGATGCTGGCTTTGTAGTGACCTGTCTGCCCAGAGATCTTCTAGATGTCATGGAACCTGCCTGGGAGTGCGGGGCCTGCAGCATCAGCGCCCCCTGGGATCATGTCCACAGCTCTTACCCAGGTCTTGGTTTCAATACCCAGGTGCAGAAGGATGGTGAACAGCGCAATGGCGGTGATGGGGGTTCCCCAGGTAAACACATCTGTGTCTGAGTCGTAGCAGGCCTGAAAGACAGTAGTGTCCTGTGTCTGTGGGTCGCTGGATGAAGCCAGTGAGAAAGACTGTGCCAGGTGCCCACTTACCAGGTAAGGAATGAAAAAGCAAACCAGGCTCTGGAAGGCAGCATCAGCCATGTTTAACCAGAACGTGCTTGGCCGATACTCCTGAGACACAGAAACAAGCACAGAAATTATAGGGAAGTAAGCATCTCTTCAAACGATGTCTTCCAGTAGCTACAGGGCCATCAGTGTACAAGATAAGCACCCCAGGGCAACTTGCTAAGTCAGGACTTTGGCGAGTTGAGGTCCCAGAGGGCTGGGGAACAAACACCACATGATCATCTGCAGAGGCACCATCTGCAACTGAGTCAATCATTCAGAGCATCTGTTCACAAGACCAGCTACTCTAGTTCTAGGTCAACAGCAGACACATAAAACCACTTCTTAAATCCTTTGAGGGAGCATTTTTTTAAAAAAGATTTATTTATTTGAGAGAGACAGAGAGAGAGTGGGGGAGGGGCAGAGGGAGAGAATCTTAAGCAGACTCCCCGCTGAGGATGGAGCCCAACATGGGGCTCGATCTCACCACCCTGAGATCATGACCTGAGCCAAAATCACAAATTGGACACTTAACTGACTGAGCCACCCAGGCGTCCCTGAGGGAGCATTTTCCTACAGTAGGCATAGCACCTCAAATTCTGGACATCCTGCTCCAATCTGAGTTCTTCTAGTCCTACTTTGTCAGGGTGTTGCTGCCCTTTGTTGGTGGGTCCCCTAGAATGTTTCTTAAAAGTGAGTCTTTCAAAATTAGGTGATGGAAGTGTTTAATGTTAAAATAAAAAAATCTGTACACTGAGGGCAAAAATGACCTTGATATGGATTGATCAAGCCTTCATTTACTGGGTAACCAAATTTGTATTTGACTCTGAGCTCCTAAGCAGCTGGGGCTGGTACTGGCCTGCAGGAAATGTAGATTGGATGAGCATTTACTGAGCACTTAAGAAAGTGCTGGCTAGGTCCCTCTTTCAGTCCCCTAGCTCCACAGGACAAACTCCTTGTGTCTTGTTCCCTTGGCCAGCCCCAGCCCCTGGCCAAGGACAGGAGGCCAAGCTGAGTACAGGCATTCCTCCAGTGACACGTAACAAGCAGAGGCTCTCCTCATCTGCCTGACTCCAGTTGCTCCCACCCCACAGCCCCACCCCTGCTGCCTACCTCAGAGGGAACCCAGTGTCAATGAAGGTGACCTGGGAAGTCAACTCAAAAGTAAACAAATTCGAGACTACTGTAAGAGATAGAGAGCTCCTTTCCCTTTGCACACATACTGTAATTCCAACTAGCAAAGAGAAGCACTTACAGGGCCAACTTTAAATGCTGGTAGGAATAGCTGGTAATTAGCATGTCAATCTATGTGGTGTGTTGATGTAAACATGTATTTATATCTGTTTGTATTCACTTATTCTCTCAATGGTTTCCCCATGGGTTTATGTTCTGGTTAATTCCCATTCAAAATAAATCACATTTTGAGGGGATTGCTTTAGAAAAATCCCTGCTCAGGAGGCAGCAATCCACAAGACCCTGACTTCAATTCCAAGTGGACTTTCCTTGGGCTCCTGGAGACTATTGGTGTACAGACTTTTCATGCCATTATACTTTTTCTATTAATCTCCCTCTCTTTTTTAGTGAGGTAAATTGGTACACAAAAACTGCACACATCTAATGTATACATCTGGATGGGCTGGACATATGCACATACCAGGATACCATCACTCCAACCAATAACCTTAATACAATCAAGGAGACAGAATACATTTTTTATACCCCATGGGTCATTTTGCAAAATTTTAACGATTTCTCCCAGGGTGTCCATTTAAAGGGAGGCGTGGAAACTTGCACTTTCTGTAAGGTGAATGTGGAGAGTGGGAGGGCAAAGACATAGGAGGTGCGGCAGGAGGGGAACCTCACCTCCATGTTCTGGCCACTCTTGTAGAGCTGTGGTTCAGTCAACAGCATGTCAGCTGGCACGTCCTTGTCCAGCACCCCAGTCACGAGCTGGGGAAGTGACGAGAAGAGCAGATTAAAGAAGATCAGATACCACTGATCAATCATGGCAGATGCAGAGAAGCCACAGTAAAACTGGAACCAAAACAGGAGGCCCACGAACATCTGAAATCAAGAAAGGAAGAATGGGGACAAGCAATTCTTAGCAGCCCTTGCAGATTCACATCCAAGGGATCTAAGGGTTTTGTAGAATTTGACTATAAAGATTGAATTTACAGGCAGAAATTTCCTTCAAAGACAGCCCTAATCTTGTTGCCCTCTCTCTCCCTCCTCATTTCCTTGAGCATAAAGGACTGGCAATGGGAGACGAGAATTCCCAAGGCCAGCCCATGGAGAGATGATTCTGGTACCAACCTGCAAGAAACGGCAGATTGGATGGAACAGCATTTATTGAGCACCTATGAAAGTGCTGGCTAAGCCCTTCCTGACAGTCCCTTATCTCCCCAGGACAAACTCTTTGTATCTTGTTCCCACAGCCAGCTGAGGAGATGAGGTCCAGTTGAGTACAGGAATTCCCCATAAAGGTCCAGCAGGGTCTAGGGTTGCTCACATATCTTCTTCCCTAGTAGCTGTCCTCTGTGATCCTAAACCAAACCTACCTGTTTTACATCCCAGATCTTGCCTCTCTCCTTAGTCACGTACTCTTTCTGATGAGGAACAGTGGGCAATTCCTGACTCCCATGGCAGGGAGGACACAAACAAGCACAGCAACAAAGTCGATGATGATATCAACATTGCTGCCTTGAGCAAGCCCAGATATCCACCGGGCACTCTGCTGGCAGGTGAGGGATATGTATGGTCACTGGTTCTTATAGCTACTACCCCTGCTTTGCTGAACAGGGAAGTGAGGGTCAGGGAGGTTGAACAGCCTCTTCAAGCCCCTGCTCAGTAGGAGGAGTTGGGTGGATCTCTTCCCCCTATTACTTGATCACTGAACATCAGTGGCTTGAGTGCATTTACATGGGGGCATGGCAATTTAGCAATGGCAAAGCATTTACACCTATCAGCTGTATAATTTGGCATAGATCATTTAACCCTTTTCTGCCTCAGTGTCCTTGTCTATGAAATGGTACTTAGCTATGGGTACCCAATGGTATCTAGTACCCAACGGTACTTAGCTATGGGTTGTTGTGAGGATTAATGAACTTACGCATTTAAAGTACTCACGAGGTCTCCTTGTACACTATAGGTACTTATGATTTGTTTCAGTTAGCAGTACAGCTATTTTCTCTGAGGGCCAGTGTGCTTACTCCATTCAGAGAAAAGGAAACTCAGGTCCAAGATGTTAAATGACTTCACTACGGCCATTGTATGAGTAATAAAGCCAATCTGTTCAAACCATTTGTGGGTCTTGGCCTGGAGGGCAGAGACCCCCAGGTGGAAGAACATTCTCTGCAGGGGACCACAGGTAATGGCCTATGTTTTGGTTCTGGAGCTGCCACTATCTATCTTTCAGACCTTGACTTACCTTCTCTGAGCTTTGGTTTCTGGACCTGAAAATGGCTTGGTCTGAAGATCAGGAAACAATGACACATATCCTCCAAGTCTTGTTTCAATCTATGACTTAGAGCAACTTTTCTCTTCCACACTGAAAACTGACAAACTTGGGTTTTTCATTGACTTTCTTCCCTTCTCACTCCCACGGCTGACTTTCTTTCACCCACCCCCACAGGCTCAGCCTAATGAGTCATCAGTGAACAACTGGAGTCAAGAGAAAGAGGAGGAAAAGTACTTAGATAATTGACATTTTTTTCTTGTAGTACCAAAAAGCCTTCTTCCCAAACTACTGTTGCTATGGAAACTTTTCTCCTCTGTTCTTTATTGGAAAGGAAGACCAACTTACTCCTAAAGCTAATTAATTTCTCAGTTTGGGAGGCAGGGTAATTATCCTTGCACTTCTCAACTAGATTAAGTGTTTGTTAACAGAGGCCGTGCATCTTACATGGAATAAAGACAGATATCCCCTTCTCCTTCCTGTCCCCTCCATGAGGACAGATTCATCACGACAGGCAGGAGGCTGTGCCCATTCAGGTGGCCACTCTGGCACTCATTTGCAACTGAAATGCTGAATTCCCTCCTGAGAAATTTTCATGAGGAATTATGGAGAGCAGAGCTCAACTCTCATGTTTTGTTTTCAAATAAAGGAAACAAAATCCCTAGAAAGCAAATAACTTGCTCAAGATTGCACAGAAATTAATGACAGAAACAGAGTTGGGGTTCCACCTGCCCAGCCCCACTCATCTGTACTCAAGCACCCATCCACCTCTTTGGGAACTGGGAACCTCTAGATTTGCAAGTATATGCATGGTGGCCTCGGCTCTGGGGATTCAATGCCAGGTGGATGGGAGATAGCAGGGAGTAACTGGCCAAGGCCAAGGGCAGCATGGCACAGACTTCCTTGGACAGAATCCCAGGTACAACCTAATCAGAATTAATTTCCAGGACACAACTGGTCAAACTGGACATGCCATGATTGGTCCTGAGTATCCATATTCATTTACTAGAAAACGTTTTGAAAAATGGGTAAAGGTAAGGGGGCAAGAGGGTTGGAAAAAGTAGATAGGTCTAAATCTCCAGAACAAGCAAGAACATGAACAAGAAGTACACTGATGGCAGTTTCGAGTTAGCATGGAGATTTTTTAATGTAATTAGAAAAAAAAATATACATATATCTTTTAATTTATTGTATTTTGTTCTTTTTTAGAAGAGTATAGGATGATCTTGACACTGGAATTGTGGCATCCAATGTGGCAGATTTGTGGGACTACCCTGAAAGATCACTTACCCCAAGAGTTTATTTATTTTGTCTCCTTGTTTGTACATTCAGCCACAAGCTTTTATAGAGACAAGAGCAATAAGTAGCAACACAGCAACTTCTTAGCAGAATGTCTATGAGTAGAGCAGGTTCTAAAATGGCCATGGCATTCATGCTGGAGGGCTATGGAGAAGGACACCTGTCTGCCAAGGACTTAGTAATAAAGGAACTAAGAGTTAAACATTAGGATCAAAATGAAAAGGAGCAGAGCCCTGGATGAGAGTCTCTGGAGGGACAGAACTGTAATCAGCCAGCCAGGCCTGGGCGTGACCTAACTGAAGGGTCAATTATAGAACAAGCTGGCCAGAATGGGGCACATCTGCCCTGCCAGCACGGGAGAAAGTGTGGCCAGGCCCTGCTGGTGGCCCTGTTCCTCGGGCCCTACACCTGCGTCCTGACCAGGGAACTCACACACCTGGCCCAGTGTGGGTATGTTTCCTCAGAGGCCATTCAGTATTGGGATCACAGCATGACTAAGTGTTCCCATTCTGATTCCAGCATGCCACTACACTCCTGCTTATCCCTGGATTTGCCTGTCTGCTCTAGAGGATTCCCGTCTATGGATACCTCAGCAGTCTGCTCCCAGGAAACACACTAACAGAGTGGTTAAGGGTTGGGTGTCCGGTGAGCTGGGGTTACACACAGCCTTGACTACTCACTCACTAGCTGTGTGACCTTGTACAGACCACTGTGATTCATGATTCCCCCACTTCTTATTATAAAGCACTAAGTGGACATTCTTATTTGCTCTGTTTCCACAACTTTCTCCCTTAGAGGTGCAGTTACCTTTATGTGCCTGTGAGCTAGACTTCTGAGCCTATAGGGGGCCAGGCCTGGGGTAAGTTCACAAAGGCCAAGGAGGATGGAACCCACAGGAAGCCCTGGGATGGCCAGATGGCCACAGTCATGGGTCCGATAAATCTCAGCCCAGGCTTTTTGATTCAAAAACTCTAGAAACGAGAAGTGTCAAATACCTACTGTATTTTTGTAGAAGAAGTACAGCACCATATTGGCAAGTCGGGAATAGCACCAATGTCCGTGAACAATTAAGAGTCTCTCAAGGTATCGGAATCTTGGCACTGCAAAGTCACTGGCCATCACTGCCTTGAAAGGGAAAGAAGTTCCTGTTATTGGTGACATCTTACTCCATCTAAGGTCTGTCTCATCTCCCCAAATACAAGGCACGTTTCAAACACAATGTGCGTGTGACTGGCCAGGGCTTACTTTATCCCCGTTTCCCTTATTATCTCCTTCAATTAAAAAAAAAAAATCAATCAATCTCAACAAGCACTCTAGTTCAGGCATATCATTTTATTGAACTCATTTAAGATTTTGAATATATGTAATTGATTTTTAAAAGCTTTTGTTTTCCCATTTTTTTTTAAAGATTTTATTTATTTATTTGAGAGAGAGAGACAGAGACAGCAAGAGGGGAGAAGAGGGAGAAGCAGGCTTCCCACTGAGCAGGGAGCCTGACACAGGGCTCCAGCAGGACCCTGGGATCATGACCTGAGTAAAGGCAGAGGCTCAACCGACTGAGCCACCCAGGTGCCCCACTGTCTTCCCATTATTTCTTTAACAAGGAGAAAACAAAAACAAACCCAGAGATGTACAGTTTCCCTACTATTCTCCACCCTCTGATGTTTTATTCATATTGGGATCTCAACCCAAAGATGAACCAAAGCTTCCCTTTTGTATGAATCAAAGACAGGCAGTTAGCCATCTCGGGTGGTGTGTTTTGGGATCTTCTCCTCAGCAGCCACAGATGATAAGCAAGGCCAAGTCCATGGCTCTGCTGGCCTTTGCATAACCCAATTCCAGAAAGCTGCAAAAAGGCAACGTGTCCATTCCACTCAGAAGGGAGTGGGGACAGCAGGTTTCCTCCATGGAAAGGAAATATGATGGAGGGTCAAATTGTCCCCTCACTTCACTGAGTATCATGCTCTACACAATTAAACTAAGTGGGCCAGACAAATGCCATCAAAATGACACCTTTTGTACCCAGAATAACTTAGAACCCACCATATAATGAATTTCTCTATTTGGAAAACATGTCAAAGAAAATGTGAGGGAAACATAGATTTCTGCTTATTTTTGGAGGATTGTTCTACACAAAAATGTAAGTCAGCTTTTAAAACTCAACTGATCTCCCTCTAGTCAAATAACTCCTTGAGTAGAGTCAGATCGCACTTGATGTGGTCCCTTAGGTGAAATAGAATAATGTCATTATACATGACAGAAAAGTGTGAAGCCTTCAAATGTCTGCTTTCTAAACCAAAAGTTAAGATTTCAAAGCAAATACTGTTTCTATACCTCCTCCTGTCAACACTGACACTTTGTGTACTCCTTTCCAGCCTTCTGCCACTCCTTCCCACCTCCAAATTTAGGCCCTGAATCCACTCTTTGTCCTTCTGTCAAGGTGGCCTTCCAAAATGCTCCCAGCTACGTTAGATCTTCCTGTGAAATACTCAACACCAAAACCTGTGTTTCTCTTTGATAGCATTTATTATAATTGTGACTATTTGTGTACATTTAAAATATGTATCTGTCTTCCCAACTTTTCTGGACATTCCATGAGAGCCAGGATAGTAGATGTGATCACCGTGTACACCCTGAGTTCCCACTCAGTGTTTGGCCCCATCGGGCGCTCAATAAACAGAGTGGACCAGATGACCCCATGAAGACCAAGATTCTCAGAGATGCAGGATCTCCTTGGCCAAACTGGGTGGGATAAGCTTCACACCTTGGCTAAGCTGGGGAGCTCCAAACACCCTCACTCATTCCTGATGGCTCTGCTCAGATCCCTAGTATCCATGTTAACACAGCATCCCACAAAGTCCATCTCCCAAAGGGCTCACCTTTGCTTACTGGACTGACTAAAATGCAAGCAGGGAAAATATTCCCTGGGAACCTGAGCACTTGGAACAGTGAGAAAAGGTATCAGGCTTTATCATCATCTTACATAATGTATCCTCAATTAGAAGTGTAGCTTTAAATAAATGCAGAAGCATCCAACTACATCCCACCTGGAAGTCATGCTCACTCAAAGCTTCGTCTCAGTATGTGCCCTATCATTTGGCTGTTGCCATCATTTCTCGCATGGCTTGAAGTATATATCTGCACTGGCCCCTGCCTTGAGGACATGAGCAGTAGTGGTAGTTCAGTCCCCTCCCCATCCACAAACCTGAGAGTCTTTCATACAAAATGTATTTACTTGGTGCATTTCTCTGCATATGCTATTTACAGGCACTGCCCTGGTCAGCTTTTCACTAGAGGAAACAGGTACAGTGGAGATGGTGATGAAAACATTAGAATGAACCAACAATTTTGTTCATCCATTCACTCCCCATGTACACGGCATTAAAAGGCAGGGATTAGGGGCACCTGGGTGACTCAGTTGGTCAAGCGTCTGCCTTCGGCTCGGGTCATGATCCCAGAGCCCTGGGATGGAGCCCTGCATCGGTCTCTCTGCTCAGCAGGGAGCCAGCGCCCTCTGCCTGCCTCTCTGCCTACTTGTGCTCTCTTCTTTCTCTGTCAAATAAATACATAAAATCTTTTTAAAAAGGCAGGCTGTATTTTCCACTTCATGGAAGAATTAAAACCACAGAAGTAAGATAAGACAGTGACTCGGGTCAGCTGAGGGCAGGAGGAGAGTAAGGTACATGCTGAGGATGGGCCAAGAGGAACTATTGTGTTTCTAGCTTGGGACTTTCCATTTTACTTTTATTTTAATGTCAGGTAAGAAAATTAATGACACATACAAGTGTCTGGCATATACAAGTGTTCACTGAATAATTACTGATTGCATTAATGAATAACTCAACCAATGACTAAATGGTGACCAACATCTGGATTTTTAGGAGAAGGAAACTGGATATGTTGTTCTCTAAGGTCTCCACCAAGTTAAAAAATGTCATGATTCAAAGTTAATCAAATGTTGGAAATTGTTGTGATACTATATCCAGAAGAAAGTTAGTTTTAATTAACTCAGTTGTTCAGCATCTGAATCACATGCTAAGAACCAACATAGTGACAAATGAAAAAAGCAGAGATAAATTTTCATGTGAGTCAAGATGGCTACATTCCATTTTTTATAGTGATACCAGATTCCAACAGTCCTACAGCAGAGTCATTTTTTTCAAATGGAACAGTAAAACATGCTTTCTTCTAAGGATGAGCCATAAATAGCCAGAGAGAAGGTGATGACTCACCTTGCCTCACTCTGTTCCACTTATTTCACAAAAATATACTTATAGACCTAGGCAAAGCTATTTACTGCTTCATAAACATGAAGAACTAGCCACCTCTACCTTATCTTCTACTACTGCTTAGTAAAAAGTGAGCATCACACTGCATTGAAGGCCAACCCTTTAGCTTTGTTGGACAAAGCCTATGGCAAGGTACAACAGTGGGCCACTTGGTCACATAGGATAGCCCTGATGGGTCTTTACCTGCATGCCCTCCTGGCCTGAGATTCCCACACCCACATCTGCCACCTGGATCATGCTGACATCATTGGCTCCATCTCCTAGAAACATAATCGTTTGAGTTGAGATGCACAGAATCAAACGGCTTGACGGATCTTCATGGGGTCCCTACTGAGCTGAGTCTTGTGAAAGGGTGTTGGGGATGAGTGAGGAAAAGGCAGCGTACAGTCTGCCCTGGGAAAATTGAGGTAAGTAGTCAGAATAAACATGGTGTGAGGTGTGGAACTGCCAGTCACATCAAGAGATGTTTCAGAAAGCCGGCTAGCATGGTTACCACTTTGTTTAGTATTCACTCTACATTACTGGGCTCATATACCTATAAAGAGAGCCCTTAACAGGGTGTCTGGCACAATAAAGATGCTATCATCATCATCGTTATTACTTACTGAGCTCTAGCCTTTATCACATGTAGACCATATCAGTAAAGGCTATTCTAATACATGCTCACACGAGCGGCTTTCTAAACTGAACAAAGGATGGTAAATTCTGCCCAGCAAACTCTAGAGTTCTTTTTGTACACTGATTACCAGCTAGCTTATTAGCTATGTGCTTACCTTTGGGCCCTCTAAAGATGTGATAAAGAAAAACTTCTATTTATTCAGTCAAGCTGCTGATAGAAAATGGTTAAGAACCTAAGACATAGGTCAGAGATCTCATCACCTTCGGGGAAAAGCAAGCAGAGACTTAAAGTCATTGTCACTCAGGAATAGGAGAGCAGAAGGGCCCAAATCACAGAGTACCTCCCAAGTTTCAAATATGCAAAAAGTGCAGATATACAAGTCAGAGTGATTCATAAAATGGCTACAGGATGTCTCTGTCCTATGATTTTTCTGTTCCTTTTTTTGCACTGGGCCCAACATGAGTGATCAGTCAGTATTTGTGAAATTGAAGTTCTGTGAAGCCATTAACAATCTCTGCAGCTTTTCTCAGAATGTCCCAATCAAAGTGAGATACGGCGTGTTCTCTATGTTATTAACTCCTGGACCCCTGGGACTAGGTGCCATCAGTTCAGTGCTTTCACTCATGGTCAAAGAAATGAGCTAAAGTTCTGCTGGGTCATTACTTTCCCTTTCCCTTTTGAGATTCTATTTTGTTTTTTCTTTTCTTTCTAACCAACTAAGACTTTACCTCCATTTTTTTGGTGTTGTTGTTTTAATTAATACCATACACCAGTGATTCCATGGCTGACCCAGGCACTGACCAGGCTGTGAAAATGTGGTTTATTCATTCATGTGTTACACCAGCCTTACCGGGGGCATCGTCCTCATGCCACCACAGAGAGGAGCGCAGAGGAGCCTGCACCAGCCAGCACACTCCTCAGCACCGACCTACAACACTTGCTAAGGGAGCTCTGAAGAACACTCCAGACACCTGAGGGCAAAGGTGGGACTGAGACAGCCTCCCCTGGGAGGGGCCCACCCCTGAGGCTTTCCCATAGCCTGGACCAGGGAGTCAGAACTAAACATGTGTTCACGTCTATGCTCGTCTCAATCCCCTTGGTGGTTACCACAGCCCTCAAGATGTACAGGGCTGTCTCCATGACAACCACACTAAGGCCATCCCACCTCAGACCCAGGCTCTACCAGCCTCAACTTTGTCCTAATGAAGTGTGCCATGTGAGAGGGTAGCAATCCCCACATCAACATGATGAGACTGTCTCAGACCCTTTGCAGAAAATACTGTGATTATTATTGGTGAGGATCCTTTATTTCAGAACCAAATCTCACCTAGGTATGGATTCTATATTCGGGGAGACTAAACTTTTTGGTATCTGGGGGTCAAGGGGATTGCCCCTTTCCCTGGGCTACCTGCAGTCTTTCCCAGCCCTCACCAGCAGATGGTGCTGCTGAGTCCCTGAACCTTGCAGGAGATTGGACCCCCAACCAGAGTGGGTGGGGATGATGCCCTGGGAGGAGGTAGGTGAGGGCTGGGTAGCACTGGAGAGGACCCTAGAAGGCTCTCCAAGCCAAAAGTCTGCAAGGAAAAACCACCATTAGATGCACAGTCCTTAAGGAAATGCTGTAAGATTTAGCAACTACTCACATGCTTATGATGGATTCATTTAATTACATGCTTGTCTTGGAACAATCAGTAAAGTCCAAAGGCTAAGAGGCAATGGGGATTCTGATCACCATCAAGTCTCTGGGTTCTTGAGGTATTATGGAGTCTTGCACTCCAGTTGGCTCATGGTGACCAGAAGCACCTTCAAAGGGCCTTCTTTTTAATGTGTTCTGAGATAATGCTTAGCGTGCCGGGCTCTGCTGTGGCAGAGGCTGCCTGGAACAGCAGATCTCTAGTCTCCTGTCTCCCAAGAAACAATGTAAGTTCTGTCTTCTTAAATCGCCATTGTATAACTATATACAGCTATAGATAGATAGATAGATAGATAGATAGATAGATAGATAGATAGATATAACTGTTGTACATTATTTTATGGTTTTCAAGTCCATGTTTTGTATTTCGAAAAGGCTGCTTATTTTCTTGCACTGGCTGTGATTTTATAAATAGAAAACAGAGCAAGGAAGTGTTTTCCCATCTTACAGTATAGCATAGAAGGGGTGCAAAGTCCTGGATGCATCCAGAGGAAGCAGCTGCATAAGATGGGGGCTACTCATTTACGTAGGGCCCTTCCTGGCTGGCCTGGATACTTGCCTATGGCCAAGGTCATGGCCTTGAGCTTGCTTCTGACCAGTTTCACCACCATACTCTTCTGCAGAGGTGTCGAGCGACAGCAAAGGACTGACCGGCACTGCTTAGCGAGAAAGAGAAATTTGTCCTCTAGGTTTTTCTCAAGGGCGTAGGCCAGACTTCTCCCATCGATCACGAGGCTCGGGCTGGGGCCAGAGGTGGTGGACGTGGAGGGCGGGCAGAGAGGGGAGAACCCCACGCTCACGTTGCCTGCGGTCTTCTCGGGGGCACTGCGGGGGCTCCTGGACTGCACGTAGTGTAGGCACTGGTCTAACAGGGCCGCACAGGCCTCCTGAAACGGACATGAGAGGAAGCGCAGTTCACTCAGCTGCACCACAGATTAGGTTACCTTCCTCGACACTGACAGTTTGATAATCTCAAGGGCACCAGGCTGCAGCCTCTGCCCAGAAGAGAAGTTAGTTGAGGATGATGACTCTCCACATTGAAGAGGATGAGCTTGTCTAGGGTTTTGATAAGACTCCACTTCATTGCCCATTATACTGTGTGGAGATTAGACGAGCACATCTTCACTTTGTAAGGCCTGACTGTACTGTGGCTAAACTGCTGGCTTAAGGTTAGGCTAAGGGAGTCTTACATGCACTTCTCCATGCTTCTCTGAGGCCTTTACTCAGCCATTCTTGCTTGCTTGTGAGGTACAAAGCCTTTTAAAAGTCTTTATGATGATTATTATCTAAAGAAGTGTAATTATCAGTGTTTCCCTAAGCTCTCCAGTTGACCAGGGAAATAATTTTTTTTAAAATGCATAATTATTGAGGCTTTTATTGGCAATGTCCTTCCAAAACTGTACCTGAATTCCAGAAAGAATAGGAAAACTTATTGGGGAAGCCAAGGGGTCATGGGACATAAGAGAGATGACTGTTTCTAGGAATAAACACACTCCAGGGAAGGCAAGTAGTTCTTGGCCCTCTGTGGACAGTGAACCCACTGGGTAAGCAACCAATTTCCTGCAATGCACCGTGGAAATCCAGTTGTGTTCCATAAGTGCTTATTGAGGACCTTTTGTATGTCGGAAAGTGAGACAAGAAAAAGGAAGACTGAGAAGACACAGTTACTGGCCCTTGAACAAATGGCAGGGGCTGAACATACACAGGATCACAGTAAGTCACAGACTAGGATGTGCAAAAGTGTTACAGGATATGAAGAGGGAAAGATTTGCTTCCAGGGTGGGGTTGGGAGTGGCAGTAACTGAGACAGGGCTGGAAAAGGATGTGAGGTCTCATTCTACAAACACCATGAGTTCCCTCATGCTAGCACCAAGAACTGCTAAGGTAAACTGGAGTGAGCACATCCACCCTGGCTCCCCAACTGAGTGCAGCTATAGCAGCCAAAGAGAATTCATAGGGCAACTGTTTGAGGACTTTGAAAATAAATAGCAGCTGTTGCACTGGGGAGGAAGACCAGCATTCTAAGTACACTGGACAGGTGGGTGAGTTTTCCATTTTCCCTCTGGTAGGGCCTGCTCTGTACCCAAGCATCACAGAACCTGGAAGTGGGTGTCAAGGCAGGGACAGAGAGAGTTCCAGGAGAAGCCCTCCTGTTCTACCTGGAGGAGTGGAGAAGAGAACTCCCAATGCTCAGAGAAAATAGAGGAAATCCCATTTTTATTTATCTTTTTCTCTATTCTCTTGAACCCAGCCCCAGGCAATTCTGGTCTGATGGCAGCAGGACCATCTGCTGCTGAAGACTGTGGTCCTGTGGTGGCAAGATAACTTCTGCCTTTTTCTCTCTGTCCTACCACCACTTGGGCTTGGATGGAGGTGTTGGTACAGAAGTACAAAGTAGAGCAAGGGAACTCAAACCCCAGCTTTCTGGCCAGAGGACTGGAAAGGGGAGTCCCAGAGAACCAGAAAGTACTGGAAAAAATTGTGAAGATGGAAGACCTTGGCCAGCTGACCCCATAGCATGGTTTATTAATTCCTGAACTACCCACAAGCCGTGCACGCATAGACAATCCTAAATGGCATAACAAAGACATTTGAGAATTGAACTTGGGATAGACTGCCACCCAAGTTCCTGACTTTTATTAAGGGGTGGCAAAAATGTGAGATAGAGTCTAACAGCTTGGCAAAGGCTACACAAAACTGACATAGAAACCACCATCCAGAGGCTATTGAGAGCTTGCAGCCTGAATCTAAGAGGGCTGATTACCTGCCTAAAATATATCCACATTCTCCACAGATTTTAAAATAACCAGTGTCATTCAAAATGCCCAAAATACAACCCAAAATGCATCAGCATACAAAGAAGCAGGAAATTCTCAATGCATGTGAAAAAAGTCAACAGAAGCCAAAGAGAAGATGACACAGATAGCAGAATTATTTGACAAAGACTCAAACAGCTATTATGAAAATGCTCTATCTATTAAGAGTGAACATTCTAGAAATGGATAGAAAGAAAGTCTCAGGAAAAAAACAAGATATAAAGAAGAACCAAAAGAAATTTTAGAACCAAAAAAACACCTTAACTAAAATAAGAAGCTCGTTGGATTCTAAATAATTTATGTAGATACTCTGTCCTCAAGGAGGGGAAATAGAACTCCACACGCTGAGTGTAAGCTGTGCATAGTCACTTCCTTCCAAAGAGTACAATAATGGAAAGGGGTAAAAATAATTGGAGAAAGCTGACAAACATAAAATCAACAGTGATAAGTCATGTTGATAGAATGTACCTTTAATATGATGTGATAAAATGTTGAAAATGGCACTTTAGGTCTTTGGAGCTCTTCCACTAAACTCATAACTCTATTCTAGTCATGAGAAAAACACCAGACAAATCCCCATATAATGGTATTCTTCAAAATAACTGGCCAGTACTGTCAAGTCATCAAAAACAAAATTTAAGAAACTGTTACAGCCAATAAGAGCCCAAGGAAACATGACAGTTAAATGTAATGTGATATTCTGTATGAGATCCTGGAACATAAAAAGGGCATTAGGTAAAAATTAAGACAATTTGAATATAGCATAGATTTTATTTTATTTATTATTATTATTCTTCTTTAGAAGTGGGGGAGAGGCAGAGGGAGAGAAGAATCTCAAGCAGGCTCCAGGCCCAGCACAGAGCCTGATGTGGGGCTTCATCTCACAACCCTGAGATCACGACCTGAGCCAAAATCATGAGTCAGACTTTTAACCTACTGGGCCACCCAGGCACCCTAAGTATAGATTATAGTAAGTAATAATATGTCAACATTGGTTCATTGATTATGGTAAAGATGTTAATAATAGGAATATTATGGTGTAGATTATATGGGAACTCTCAATACTATCTTTGCAATTTTTCTGTAAATTTAAAACTATTGTATATATAGAATTTATTTTTTAAAACATCACTAAATGTCCCAATAGCAGAATGGAGATAACAGAAAGAAAAAGTCAGTGAACTCAAAGATCAATAGAAATTAACCAATTTGACCAAGAGAGAAAGAAAAATTGAAAAAATGAAGAGAGCCTCAGCGAGCCTTGAGGCAAACCAGAAGACCTGACATTCACGTCATCAGTCTTCCAGAAGAGGAGCAATTGCAGCACAAAAAAAGTGTCTGAAAAAATAAATAATGGCTAAAAATTTGCCAAATTTAGTGAAAGACATAACCCCACAGATTCAAGCAGCTCAGCAAAACCCAAAGTATCAATCTAAAAAAATCTGTGCCCAAACACACCCTAATCAAACTGCTTAAACTAAAGGCAAAAAACCAAAACCAACCCAAAATCAAAACATCCAGATAAAAATGATGCATTAGCTATAGATTTGGATGACTGTTGATTTTGCCTAGAAACCATGGTGAAATAAAGGCATTCTCTGATAAAGAAAAGAGAATCTGTTGCCAGTAGACCTAGTCTAAAAGAATTGCTGAAGGAAGTTCTTCAGACAAGAGGGAAAAAAGTGCCGCAAGGACACTTGTAACACCGGGGATGAAATAAGTGTGACAGAAATTGTCAATATTCACATAAATAAAATGGGCTATTCTTTTCCTTTAGACTTCTTTAAAATATGCATTTTGATTGAAAGTAAAAATTATTATCTGACAAGGATTTCAATCTCTGTTGCTTTCATACAGAAGACACCTACAACGTAAAGGAGTAAAGGGAGACATGGATTGAGACTTCTTCATTCCACTCAAAGTAGCAAAATACTGATTGTATTTTGTATGATGACTTAAGTATGCATATTGTAATCTTTTTTAAAGAAAGAAGAAGATAAAAACCCAAGTAAAGTGATATTTTCAAAGGAAAGAGACACATTAAAACAGAATACTAGGGTGGAGCAAGATGGTGGAGGAGTAGGAGACCTGGATTTCGTCTAGTCCCAGGAATGAAGCTAGATAGGGATCAAACCATTCTGAACACCTATAAACTCAACAGGAGATCAAAGAAAAGAATAGCAAGAAATCTCTGAACAGAAAAGCGACCACTTTCTGGAAGGTAGGACGTGCGGAGAAGTGAATCCGAGGCGATATTCAGGAGGATAGATGGCGGGGGTGGGGTCCTCCGTCGGCCGCTTCTGGCAAGTGATAGAACCACGGAGCACAAAATCGGAACTTTTAGAAGTTGGCTCCACTGAGGGACGTCGCTCCAGTGGCTAAGGGGGGAAGTGGAACGCTCGCGGGACAGTGTGGTCTCAGGACCATCGGGGTCACAGAAAGACCAGGAGTGCCTGAGTGTGGCAGAGCTCCCAGGTATTGGAGTGGGGAAGCCGGCTGCAGAGACGGAGCCAAGGAGTGGGCTCTCAGCTCGGGGTTGCCATAAACCGTGATCCGTGGCACAGTTGGGCCACTGCTTCTCCAGCAGGGACCCAACAAGCGGCAGCTCCGGGGAGAGTCCCCTTCCTCCCATGGAAGAGCAGCGCGGGAGCGCACCACAGGGATCTGCTAGGTTTGGAGACTCCACACGGGGTCGAGTGCCAGAGATAGAAATGCGCGGTCACAGGTCGGGTGAGCATGGAGTGCGGCTGGAGACTGGGGGGACAGGAGTGATTGACTGCTTTTCTCTGGGGGCGCACTGAGGAGCGGGGCTCCGAGTTCTCGGCTCCTCCGGGGCGGAGATTGGGAGGCCGCCATTTTCACTCTCGTCCTCCAAAGCTGTACGGAAAGCTTGCAGGGAACAAAAGCTCCTGAGAGCAAACCCGAGCAGATTACTTAGCCCGGAGCAGGCAAGGGCGGGGCAATTCTGCCTCCGGCAAAGACTTTTGGGAACCATGGCAACAGGCCCCTCCCCCAGAAGATCAGCAAGAACAGCCAGCCAAGACCAAGTTTACTGATCAATGAGAACGGCAGAACTCCAGCGCTAGGGGAATACTGCACATAGAATTCATGGCTTTTTTACCATGATTCTTTAGTCTTTCAAAGTTATTATTTTTTTAATTGCCTTTTTTAAAAAATTTTTCTTTTTCCCTTTTTCAACCAACATCTTATCAATACCTACTTTAAAAAAACATTTTTATTTTTCATTTTTAGAGTCCTATTCTATCTCTGCATACTAGTTACCCGTATTTTTGGCATATATATATAAGTTGTTCTCTCTTTAAAATTTTGAGATACAGTTTCTTCTAACAGATCAAAATATACCCTAAATCTCTAGTGTATGGCTTTGTTCTAGTCTCCTGCCTGATCACATTCTTTTTTTTTTTTTTAAATCCTCTTCTTTCTTTTTTTCCAACAACTTCTTATCAATTCTTTTTACAAAATTTTTTATAATTTTCATCTTTACAGTCATACTCCATCCCTTCATTGTATCAACCCTTATTTTTGTACATATATAAGTTTTTCTTTCTTTAAAATTTTGGGAGGCATTTCTTCTAAAAGACCAAAATACACCCAAAATCTAGTGTGTGGCACTGATCTATGCACCAGCCTGATCATATTTGATCATATTCTGTTTTTATTTTTGTTCTGTTTTTGTTTGTTTTTATCTTTTTCATTTTCTTTTTTTTTCTTTTTTCTTTCTTTCCCTTTCTTTTCCCCCAGCTTCAGGTCTTTTCTGATTTGTTTAGAGTATATTTTCTGGGGACGTTTTACCCAGTTAGCATTTTATTCTCTCATTCATCTATTCTCCTCTGGACAGAAGGACAAGATGGAAAAGATCACCTCAACAAAAAGAACAAGAGGTAGTACCGACTGCGAGGGACCTACTCAATACGGACATTAGTAAGATGTAGGACCCAGAGTTCAGAATAATGATTTTAAAGATACTAGATGGGCTTGAAAAAAGCATGGAAGATATTAGAGAAACCCTATCTGGAGAAATAAAAGAACTAAAACCTAACCAAGTTGAAATCAAAAAGGCTATTAATGAGGTGCAATCAAAAATGGGGGTGCTAACTGCTAGGATACATGAGGCAGAAGAGAGAATCAGTGATATAGAAGACCAAATGATGGAAAATAAAGAAGCTGAGAAAAAGAGAGATAAACAACTACTGGATTATGAGGGCAGAATTCGAGAGATAAGCGATATCATAAGACGAAATAACATTAGAATAATTGGGATCCCAGAAGAAGAAGAAAGAGAGAGGGGGGCAGAAGGTATATTGGAGCAAATTATAGCGGAGAACTTCCCTAATTTGGGGAAGGAAACAAGCATCAAAATCCAGGAGGCACAGAGAACCCCCCCTAAAAATCAGTAAAAATAGGTCAACACCCCTACATCTAATAGTAAAACTTATGAGTCTCAGAGACAAACAGAAAATGCTGAAAGCAGCTTGGGAGAAGAGATATGTAACCTACAAGGGTAGAAACATTAGATTGGCAACAGACCTATCCACAGAGACCTGGCAGGCCAGAAAGGACTGGCATGATATA